CCAACAGGGTCACACTACCCCTGTCGATGCTTAGACGCAGGTCGTCGGCCAAGGCAACCATGGTGGTCTCAACTCCAAATCCTATCCTAAAGCCAGTTTGAAATGGGTCTAGATAATCGGTTTCATCCAAGACAGCTTGGAGTTGAAGAGCAACCACCCTCTTGATTACCTTGCTCAGAAATGGTAGCAAAGAGATTGGCCTATAGTTGTTCATATCCAGGGGGTCCAGGGAAGTTTTTTTCAAAAGCGACCAAATAGCCGCTTCCTTCAAACAGGATGGGATATGACCTTCTCTGAGGGATGCATTGATGATGTCCATAAGGAACATCCTCAATGCTTCCCCCTGCCATCCCCGGACGGCCAGCCATGATGGGCAAGGATCGAGAGGGCAGGTCGCTTTCTTCACTCTACCAAGGAGCTTGTCCACGTCATCGGTACTCACAGATTGAAACTGATCCAGGATAATTTCATTAATGGAGTCGCTGGACACCTCATCAGTTGTTTGTGTCAAAACACTGGCGTCTAAGTCGGCTCTTATCTGAGAAATTTTATCTGCAAAAAAGTTGTTAAATGCATCACAGCAGGCAGTTGTCGGGTTGAGTAATGGGTTCTGCACAGGAGGTACCTGTGTCAGCTCCCTTACCACCCTAAACAGCTCTGCTGGACGGGACTCTGTAGACGCAATACATGCAGAACAGAAGGATCTCTGTGCTGCACGTATTGCCTCTCGATAGGAGCAAAGAAAGTTCCTATTACGAGTTTTGTCAATAAGAGTCGAGTTTTCCGCCAGGAGCGCTCTAGTCATTGTCCAACTAATTAAATAAGAGCCAGTGTGGCGTAGTGGTTTGAGTGCTGGACTGTGACTCTGGAGGCCAGGGTTTGATTCCAGCTCCACCATGAAATCCACTGGGTGAACTTGGGCAAGTCACGTACTCTTAGCCTCAGGGGAACGCAGTGGTAATGGCAATCCTCTGAACAAATTTTTCCAAGAAAGCCCCATGATAGCGTTGCCTTAGAGTTGCCAAGAGTCAGAACCACTTGAAGGCAAACAACGACAACATAATTAAGTATTAGTAGAAGATTTCATTCGTTAACAACGAATGGGGGATTTTTAAAAATTTAATTATATTTAAGGAAGAGTTAATTCTAATTAATTTCAGCTAATTTTAATCTAATTCAATTAATGTATTTTTAATTTTAAAACAACAAAATATTTAGCAAACCTGAAAGTGGACTCCCATCTTCTGAGAATAGCCCATGCTTGATTCAGCCTTACTTCCAAACTGGGACATTGCTTGTCTTTTCTCAGCCAGTATTGCATATATCACAGATATGGGGAAATGATGCAGTATATATGTGGGAGTGATTGCAGTTAATCAGTAGTGAGGGATGTGCACATTGCTTAAATCAAAGGCATGTATTACAACTGAAATTACATAGCTGAAATCCATAAAGAAGATGTACACTAGTTTATTAATGGAAGTAATCCACTACCAGGATAGGACAACATATGGTTAACAGGCTTTAGATGAGCCATGAAAGCTTTAGCTTGGAAAAAAGAGCACATTTGACCACACAGTGGCATTCCCAAGGCCTGTGGAAAGATCTTGTTAGCCTGGATAAACTCTACAAAACTATTAATCATGCCTAGTTATGCTTCACAAGAACCACACTGACAACTGGCTTCTAGTCTTAATAGTGAATAACCTAGCCTTCTGGGCAACAAGTAACTGTATTTCCTGGTACTTTCTGAGATACTAGATTCCCCAGAAATAGCACATGAAGGTTAACATGACTTCAAGGCCATAATTCCCAATCACAATAAAGCAACAAAAAGACTCAATAACACTAAGTACATGTTACTGCATCTATTCACATTTCTCCCTTGTTATTTTTTGATTCTCCTTGCCTAGTTTCAAAAGGAAGATGTTATTTGGGGAGGGTGTAGGAAGGCTAACATATGGTGTAAAATGCCAGACATGTTAATGACATATAATAAGAATCAAGCCAAAGAGTGAGGGAAATGTCTGTGTGCCAGAGAACATATTTAAAATATTTTAAGGCACTGACCTGTAAAAAGACCACTTTAACAGAAACTGTCGTGCTGCTTTAGGAAAACTAGGTCTTCCCTCATATGGTTTCAGTGCTTGCATCATTACATTATCCAGCCAGGCAGCCCACTGCTCCAGAGTGCTCTGCTGCTGAAGAGTCATCTTGAAATCTGTTTCCAGCCTCTGTACCATATTGTCATCACACTGGCACACCCAGGAAGCCTGCTCCTGTCCCAGAACAAAAGAAGTCAAGAGTAGCACCTCATATAAACAGGTTATGGAGACAACAAGGAAGAAAAAAATGAATAAAGGTGGAGAGACATAAGTAACCAAGCAGCACATAAAGGGACAAAAGTTAAAAAGTTTCTTTTGGAGGATATGTAAAATAGATGGATATAGCATGCCACATCCAGCAAGTTAAGGAATGGAACCATTGCTGCTCCATCTTAGAGTCTGTATGTTACATTAGATAACTTATTTTGTCATTTCAAATGGGCCATTAAATATTTTGACTTTTTTGATAGTGATACTGGGATATACCCTAGTGCTTTATCTGAAAGTCAGTTTTCACAAAGTGAACGTTTGGAATACTTGGGAAGTTCTGTAATGGCAGAAATGTTTCATGCTTCTTTTCATGTAAGGAAGCTGAGCTATAAGCTGCTATTTTCCAATAAAGCATACTTTATATGCAACCAAGTCATTTTTTCTCCCATTTTTTTACATGGTAATGTCACTGGCAGCTCAGAAACTCAGGGGGGTTGCAGACTGCCAGAAATAGTGCAAATTGAGACCACTTTTAGGGTTAGGATTAGGATTAGGGAATCATGGGAAGTGTATTTTATTGTGGCACCAGAGCTCTCTGACAGAGAAGGCTCAATGTCTCAGAAAAAAAAAAGGTCCCATGATTCCCTAGCACTAACCCTAACCCTAAAAGTGGACTCAATTTGCACTATTTCTGGCAGTCTGCAACCCCCCTCAGACTCAAGAAAGAGAGAAAAAGGTTCTTACTGGGATTCTGCAAAGTTTCAGCATACCTGGACATTGGCAAAATCAACACGGTTGAGGTCATTGAGCATCTGGTTGATCTGAGAAGTGTTCTGCAGTACAGCACGAGCTGCCTGAGCCAGATGATTAAGAGATGTGTATCTTCGCAGAGTCTGAGCAAAGGCACTTACAGCGGCAACCTAAGAGGAGTGAAAAAAAGGTATGACACATACATGCACGGTGGTAAGTCTGGCCAGCAAATTTACTAACATCCTCTACTCACTGAGAATTATATAATCTTCCTTCTTTATCCCCCACCTGTTTCTCCCTTTCCCTTATATTCAGCTCCAGTTCACACTATCTTCTGACAGATGTTTTGCTAGTTTTCAGCTAGGATACATATAACTAAAGAACACAGTGTTCAATGGAATGTCTTTAAAGCTCTTCAACAGGTATTTTTAGATATCTGTGGGTGAAAAGTATGTTTCCAATAACATGCAAGAACATCACAAGTTAGCTACAAACATTTCATGTACAAGAATGTATGACATGGAAGAAAAATTCTGTATGTTTCTTCAAATAAATGCTTTCTGCATTGGCTCTTTACATTTGAAAATCAGAGGGCTTAACAACGATGTTTTGTTATGATTCATAATAGCTTTTTTTGTTCCAGGGAGTCAGGATCAACTCTTTAGTTTACCTTGGTTTGAATCATTCTCTGTGGAATATTGTTCATGGCATTGGAAAGCCAACCTTCAAGGCTTTTTGCAAAATTGCGAATGGCTTGGGTCAAGGCACCTATGCATGAAAGAATACAAAACAAAGAGGAAAAAAAGTCAAGGCTTGTATGCATTGAAAGATCAATGTCCTTGAATATTACAGCTGCACAGTAAAGTGAAGGAGTAAATGCTAATGCACCATACTAATCATTCTAGGAACTACCAACAGAAATACTACATAGAAATAAAACAGTACTGTAATGGCAGAACAAATTCACAGAACAGAAAATATTTGAAGGGCATGGTATTAGTTCTCACTAATGTGAGAAATGTGTGTTTCAGCTGTGTCACTTCATACTGTCAAGTAGGAGCTACTTTGTATGAAGAAGCATTCAGTCATAGGAGTCTTTCTATTAAAAATTAGGCTTTAGGTAAGGATCAACAGCATTTTAGTGTAACTCTGCAAGTAAAACAGTATAAATATGACAATGTAACTTCAGGCTGTAGATACATCACCTGATAACAGTGGGCAATTGTCCCACATGCCATTTTTTTTTCTCCTGGGATCCTCCAGAGCCAAAAATCAGAAAAAGGAAAACTGAAGTTGTCTGGAAGTCTACTTCTGATTTTGATATTGAACAGCAGTATTGTGCATGTGCATTATTTCAAAGACAAACTTTGATACTGCCAGGAGAGCCAATTCCTGGATTTTTATGTCCAGAAAAAAGAGCAATCTGAGGATATGGACAGATAAAGGCTACAGAAAGAGCCTTGAAGGAAGCATGCTTAGCCCAACCCTGAAGTAGAAAAAAAAAGTTCCTATTGTGGAGTTACAGTGTAACATGTCATTGGTGACTCTTAAATTTGTATTGGATAGCATTTAATTCTATAAAGTATTTCTATTGATTGAACTATTATGCTCCTACTGCACCTTCCTGTCTCCCCAGTTGTTAGATTTTTAGATACCATTTGAATATTAGCCTATTTAATAGGAATCACTTTGTTATTCTGAGGCTTACACCTGTAAACAAATTTCATCTATATTTAAAAAATATATTTAAAAGAAGTAGCATGCAAAACTAATTCTAGCCATTCAGTAACACTATTATTATTTATGGGCAGACACAGACTCATCACCCCAAGTGGTGGGAGGGGAGACAAAAGAAATCTGGATGGTAGGGAAATGGAATGCAGCATTCCAAAGAGGGATTGGCTGGCTGACTAGTACTGTGGTCCACAAACCTTTTCAGGCTAACACCCCTTTCCCTCTTGGGTGACAACCCTAGCCCCCCTCCCCATTTCTTGGTATCAGGTTCTCAAGCAAGGGAAGTGGCTGCTTTTGGGTAGTTCTGCAAATGAAGTAAATGAAATCCTGCTTGCCATGCAATCCCAGTGGGTGACGCTGGACAAGCCACACTCTCCC